TCCAGACCTCATGATCCGCCCACCTCGGCCTCCCAAAGTGCTGGGATTACAGGCATGAGCCACCATGCCCAGCCTGTTTGGTGATATTATTACTCTCATTATATAGATTTTAAAAACTGGGGCACAGACAGATAAGACAACTTGCTTAAGGTCACACAGCTATAAGGAAGTGACAGAGCTAGATTTTAAACCTAAACAGTCTAGTTCCAGAGGCAACGCTCTCAACCACAAAGCTGTACTCCAAACTGTCATTTGCATGAATAAATGTATGACGATTATTTAAGCACTCTCTTCTATCTGCGCTCCAGTGGGTTTACTCCTATACACAGCACAGCGAAGAACATCTTGTTCGTGTATATCTTTGTACATGCATTCAATTACTATGTTGGGCTAGATTCCCATGAGTAGAATTGCTGAATCAAAAGGTTGACACATTTTTTAAAGGTTAGGTACATATTAGTCAAAGTTTTAACCAATATGCTTTCTAAGCCTCTTTGATCTTTATAATTCATTGTTCCTTTCTAAAAATGTATAAACTGTCTTCTGAGTTCAGTGTAGTTTTTTTTTTTAATATAGGGCTTCTTATTCTATTTCCTCCCCTTTTCTTATTTCTTCAAAATGTTTAACAAAATAACACATTTTCAGAAGGCATTATGCTTTATCTTGTCAGCATTTCCAGTACCTTGTATCTCCTGGACTTTATGCAATAGGGGTGTGTGCACAGATGAAATACGGTCCCACCATTTAGCTTACTGACAATTTTTCACACTACTAATTTTCTTTCTTTATTTCTCCTTTTAAGCTTCACAAGAATTGAAGTAACATATATAATGCATAATAATTTTGTTCTCTTGATTTCAGTATATGTAAATTAGGGGGTACTGCCTGGCAAGGATGGATGATGTGTCAGAGGCCTAGAAGACAAGGCTCTCACCTCTGCCTCTAGCTTGTTTTATAACCACTTAATCATTCTGCATTTCATTTTCCCCATTTGCCAAATGGCAAGTGAACTAAATGACTTTGAAAACCTATTCTTTTTTTTTTTTTTTTTTTTTTAAGTGTCAGGCTAGCCAAGACTCAAGTTGATCTTTGAAAAGTATGGTTTGAAATTAGGGCAAATAGTGTGTGTGTTGGTGGGGCAGAGTTGGAGGCACTAAAGATTGGTTTCAACATATTAAAACTATTTTGTGTTCTGACGCTTGACCAAGGCCTCCTAACAGTGTGCTTTAGTGGTTTGTGGAACATATTTTTAAGGCCAAGGTAATTATAGTTGTTCCACTGAAGCATGACAAATGGCCCCTCACTTTGAATTCTTCTATGGGAAAGAAAAACCTTCCCTGACAACAGCCCTGGAAGTTAATTACAGGCTCCAGATCTGGGGGCAAGAATAGAGACAGGCGTTGGCTGCAGTCAAGGGAGAGAAAACAAGAGCATGGGCTCACCTGAGAAGAATCAGGGCAGGGTGATATAACAATAGCAACTCACTTAAGGACGTTAGTGGGGCCCTGGGGAGAACCTGCTATTGGCAGATGTTGTCCCAAGAATTTCATATACACTGTCTCATTTAATTCCCACAGTGCCCCTATGAGATAGGTTATGAGGTAGGTACTTTTATTTTTTCTGTTTTACAAGGATGAGTATTGGTAGATTCTTTTAAAAAGAAGCTAGATAACTTGCTTTTAATTATTCAGCCATTAGTTGTCAGAGGTAGAATTTAAACCCTGATTCGTTTAAGACATTTAACACATTCATCATTTAACACGTTTGTTTTGCTTTGTTTCGTTTTGTGCCAGGCACCTGTCTAAAGGCCAGGGACACAGAAATGAATGAGGCAAAATTCCTGCTTTTATGGAGTTGGCTAATAAAGGATGAGACCAGTCATAACCGACAAATCAATAAATAATTTCAGATGGTAATAGCGCTATGAAGAAAAATCAGCTCTCTGTGAGGAGATGACCGGGGTAGGGGGAAGACCACTTTATAGGAACTTGGCAGGGAAAGCCCCTGGGTGGTGACATCAAGCTGAGCCCTATGCGCTAGAGCCAGTGAGCCGTGCAGAGATCTATCAGAGGGCATTTTATCTGCAGAGTCCGTCAGAGAAGAGGTCAAGGACTTGAAAGAACCTGCCTTGTTCTGGGAACAGAGAGAAAGCCAGTGTGGCTGGATGACAAGTGAAAGGGGAAAAATGTCTGCAGTGGGCAGGCTCCAAATGATGCAGGACCTGTGGGCCATGGTAGGACACTTGGATTTTATTCTACATGCAGGGAAGACCATGGAGGATTTTATACCAGGAAGTGTTGTGATCTCTAGTCTCTGCAGGCAGATTTCTTCCTCTAGGTTATGTTGCCAACAAGGAGCATCTGGAACAGAGTCGGCTGTTTCTGTAGCCCACAGCCTAAAGGAGTGTTAACTTAGGGGCCAGCGTTTCAGATGAAACAAACCCTAGGGTTTCCACAGAACAAGACTGAAATGGACACTGAGAGGTCACCTTAGCTGAACTTCTGACTTTAGGTAAGAAGACCTTAGCAGATCCAAGTGGAGCAGCTGGGCTCTACTGAGTAAAGGGGACTTCATCTTCTGTCTTGGGACCTTCCCTGAGTACATAGAAAGTGGTGCTCTGGATACTAAAATTGCTTGACCCCTTCTCGATCTGGAGGTTATGCTTGCCTCATAGAATAAACGTCATCCAAAATAACAAGACATTATAGCTTTGGGTAGGTGGCATCTCGGGGATTTACATTTCTGTGCAATCTGTCATGTGTGTGTGTGTGTGTGTGTGTGTGTGTTGATTTTTATTCTCTTTGGAAAAATATTTTTGACGATGCCTTCAACATTTTAACATAGAGGGCCTGGGTGTGGCGGCTCTTTCTTATAATCCCAGCACTTCGGGAGGCTGAGGCCAGTGGATCACTTGAGGTCAGGAATTCAAGACCAACCTGACCAACATGGTGAAACCCCATCTTTACTGAAAACACAGTTAGCCAGGCATGGTGGCGCATAACTATAATCCCAGCTATTCTGGAGGCTGAGGCAGGAGAATTGCCTGAACCTAGAGGTTGTGTGAGCCAAGATTGCAATGCTGCACTTCAGCCTGGGTGACAGAGTGAGACTCTGTCTCAAAAAACAAACAAACCAAAAAAAAAAAAAAAAAAAACAAAAACAAAGGTCCTGGCATTTCTGATGGGTTGTTATTACATGGATGGGTCTAGAATTTGTACTAGGCTACTTGGTTAATTTTATTTGAATGCTCCTTATAAACAAACACTCAAGTTAACCCATTGAAATTGGTTGATGTCACCCATGAGATGAAATTAATTGCTTGTTTCGGTTAAAGGCTCACTACTCTAAGACACTCTTCTCTTACTTTGACAAAACTATTCAGAGTTAATGAACACATTGATTTAGCAAAACCAAATCTGAATAACATGGTAAACCATCACTAATGCACTATGTGTGTGCCTAGGTGGCTGACTTGCCCTCTGTATGTAATTGACAATTCAGGCCTAACAATACGGATTTGTTTGTATGAAATGACCTTGGGAGGCATTTAGTTGAGCACTGTCATACAGTGGGCCCCAGAGAGCAAAGTAAATAATTGAAAAAGAATTCCATTTAAACTGTGCAAGTGAGTAGGATTTGGAGAATACCACCCTTGAGTTAGTTTTTTATTTATAAAGAGCATATTTGTTTCTCAGGTGGAAAAACATCCTCAAACTACCTTACTTCATGAATGAGGTCAGAAAAGTCTAACAGAGCCAGGTGTAGTGGCTCGCACCTGTAATCCCAGCACTTTGGGAGCTCAAGGTAGGCAGATCACTTGACGTCGGGAGTTCGAGACCAGCCTGGCCAACATGGTGAAACCACATCTTTAACACTAATGTAAAAAATTAGCTGATGTGGTGGCAGCCTGTAATCCCAGCTACTCAGGAAGCTGAGGCAGGAGAATCGCTTGAACCCCAGAGGTGAACGTTGTAGTGAGCTGAGATTGTGCCACTGCACTCCAGCCTGGGTGACAGAACAAGACTCTGTCTCAAAAAAAACTAACAGGACAGAAACACAAGGACAAGGGTAGTCTAAGGACAGGCTATGTGGTACACCAGGGGTGTAGGATGATGAGAACAGAGTTCCCATGTCTAAAGGTGCCAAACTGGAGAACTCTCAAGGTTCCCCCACATCAGTATTCTGTAGTTTGGAAAAAATGATTTTGTTTTTTTACTTGAGTTAGAGCATGTTTTCCCAAGGCCTTATAGCTGTGAGTACAGGATGACTCTAATAACTGCATCAGAATTATAAACTGTCAGCACTGGGATGGTTGAGTCGACTAAACAAGCAGTTTTCTCCCATTGTCTGTTTCCTAGATGGATGAATAACAATTTCAGCCTCTCCACTTTGTTGTAGCTCAGTCAGTCTGACATTTCTGATTGCTGAGAGGTTTCTGGAAATGTTCTAGGTCACACATTGGAGTTAATTCAGGAGATAATGCAATTCCAATGGAATCATCGTTGTCTCTGCTGTCAGATCGCGTATTTTCGGAGTGCAGTTGGTTGAGCTGCACAACTCTGCAGATTTAATACTACATACTTGCTGCTTTGCGTCTTGCCCTCAAGTCTTAATAAATGCGCTAAAGGTCTGATTGGAAACTGTGAGATAAATTATATGTTTACTATGCCAAGTTAAGTAAATACCATTTGAAAGGATTACTAGAGGGTACAATCAAGTTAATTGCTTTAAAAATCTTTTTTGATTTACTGGGCTCTATGAAAATTGTTAAGCAATTGATCTGCCACAGTACATGAGCTGAAGAAAGTGGTGCTGAGTCCACAAGGTTTCCAAGCACATCCCCTCTCCTGTGCCTGGAACTGCCCCCTAAATGACAAAAGAGTCCCCCCAGGACCTGTATGCAAGTACTGTGGACAAACTGTTGTACCGCCAGAGAAGACATATGTTGACAGCTTGACATTCGGGCTGACAATGGATTTCTTTTTTTTTTTTTATTCTAGATGCTGAAGAATACCAGCCTCCAATATGGAAATCATACCGTGAGTACCTGAAATGAAAATGTCCTTAGAAATGTTTAGCAGGCGACCTTTTTGAGTAATTCTTGGCATTGATGTAGTGCACACAGGTGGTCTCACCTCACAGCACTGAAAACTCAAATCTTTCTTTTCCACTAAGGAAATAGATTAGTCAGAGAGGATTAACCGAGCCCCCTCCCCTGACCAGGACCTGCAAAAACCAGCTGTGGCCCATTTCAGAAATGCTTAGAAAAGAGGGGTAGACTTTCTGACTCTCTGCCTGTCAGTTTGGGGCTTTATTTATTTATTTATTTTTACGCAGTTGGTTGGCAAGGGTGAATGTGCTGACTTCTGTGAATTATGTTTTTGGCCAGTCATTCTAAGGATATAATATCATATGACATCAGTCCCTGAAAAATGAACAGATAGCGAAGAACCATGTTTGGTCACTAAGGGTGGCTCTTAGAAATCCTGCCTGATCATCAGTCACCAGCCTAGCTTCCCTCATGAAGGCAGGCGGCTGTCATCGCCTCAGCCTCATCTCCTCTCCTCTTTTCTTAGTACTCTATGCTTGACTCAGGAACTCCCCACTGAGAGAGGCCAGGTCTGTGGTAGGAGGAACCCACTGGGTCCAGAGCACCGGGACACAGGCCCTGGCTCACCCTCCACTTCTGGAATCATCATTGGCATTCCTAATGATGCTGCGGGGGTCACCACTGCCCATCGAGACCCTACCTGGTGCTGACCACCGCACCAAGCAGCAGCCAAGACCTAACTTCCCACCACAGCTCTGACAGATGGGGACTTTCTTTTTTTTTTTTTTTTGAGACCAATTCTCTCTCTGTCACTCAGACTGGTATGCAGTGGTGCAATCTCAGCTCACTGCAACCTCCACCTCCCTCCCAGGCTCAGGCGATCCTCCCCCATCAGCCTTCCAAGTACCTGGGACTGTTACAGGCACCACCACACCCAGCTAATTTTTTGTATTTTTATTAGGGATTTTGCCATGTTGCCCAGGCTGATCTTGAACTCCTGAACCCAAGCAATCCACCTGCCTCGGCCTCTTAAATTGCTGGGATTACAGGCATGAGCCACCACACCGGGGCTATGGGGACTGTTATTATCTCTGTTTCACATGTAAGGAAACCATGGCTCAGGGAGACTAAGTAACTTGAAGTTTTCACATAAAGTTGTGGGTAGCATTCTGAGTGGAACCCCACAGCCTGCCAGTGTCCAAGACTTGTCCGTTCTATTCAAAATCTTATATATGCATAAGTTCATGTATACATACACACACATACACATATTATATATGGATATATAATATATGCATATTTATAGCTACACACACATATAAATATATACATATGTATTTGTTACAAAAGCAATACAAAGCTACATAAAAAACATATTAGGGAAATACACAAAATTGGGAGTAAAAATTTCCCATCATCCACAAACTGGCCCCCTCCCCATATTCTAGTCCCCTCTCCCCTTTCCAAGTAGCTGAGCTCTGTCAATCTGGGGAGGCAGATCCTTCCGATTGTTTAAAAGCCCATGCTTCAGGTTAGGCATTTGTGTTACTGTTGTGTAAGAACGGCTTTACGCTGTACTTAGTGTCCTTCAGCTTGCTTGTTTCACTTCACAAACGTCTTGTTTTTATCTCTCCTTGCCAGCACATACAGAGGCACCTTGTTCTTCATTACATAAGTCTGTTCTTCCATCTGTGAAATAAAGGGGCTGTGCTGGCTCTCTAAGGGCCCTTCCAGTCTCATGCTCTGCATCCTGATCTTCTGTTTTGAAAGGCCCTGCTAATGACTTAGTAATTGGATGTTTTTGTTTGTTTGTTTCCTAATGGAGTGTGAAGAGCTCTGACAGTAAATCAACAGAATATCTGTAGTGAGAGGCATTGCGTGTTCCATGACTTACTGTGCTTCGCACACTGGCTTGCACACGGCCTTGCATACCTTGACGACCCAATAAATATTTGTTGAGAGAATGCCTCCACAGAGAGTTTGCTGAAGCGAAAATATGGCAGGGGCTCAAATTCGTTTTGTCTCCCTTTAAGAGATGTTGGGCCACCCAATAACATGTCTTAAAAGTATTTCTGTGTCCTGAGAAAGCCATTTACATGTTAACAATATCGATTTTACCCTTTTGTATTCATTTTAAGTTTGATTTTAGGATCTAACCAAGTTGTGTTTTTGTGTTTTTTTAAAGAACTCTGTAATCATAAAACTTTACTTGCAAAAGTTCCTCATTAATATATCTAACTAATAGTTATCCAAGCTCTTGGCGTCAAAAATATGTTAACCAAAGCCTTCCAGATCACCAGTGAGGAAGAACTCTCTTTTGATCATCTTGATCCATGAATTATTTGAGTCTGTGTGTTAGACCACTTATGAATGTACCTCACAGTATTATTATCAAGCTCATGCTATTGCATCTTATTCCCAAGAATATCATCCATTCATTTAATCTTTCAGCAAATACATTCTACATGTCAGAGAATAAGTGTTAGAAATCAACAATGAATAAAATGTGGCTTATACTTGCCTCCAGTGTACAATCTGGTGGAAGGAGACAGATGGAAACCAACAAACTTGAAAGGCAAATGAACTCTGGTAACAAAATACTACTCCTCTGTCTCCTGGGATTAGAGAAGACTATAGTAGAGGTCAAGTTTGCATGTGGGTCTTGAAGGATGACTAGGAGACAGAATGCAATGACCTTCATGAGATGCTTTTTAAAAAATCCAGATATGCAAAAATGGTATTATTTTCCTGACGTGAAATTTCAACAAAGCTATCAGAATATTGAATTTGTTTTATTTTAAACAAATTGTTTGTAAACTCATTACAAACCCCAGGAATTACCAAGCCTTTCTCTTTGAAATGTTCACAAATTATCCTTTGAGAGATTAATTTTAGATACTGATGTCTGACTCATTAGCATATCATGTATGGAATCCATATTCTCCCATCACATACTTCTTTTTAACTCTAGCAATTTTTGGTACTACCAATTCTCTCCCATGTTTACTAGATCCACTTTGTTTTTGCCATCACATAGGATTTGGTTTAAAAATTTATTATTTGCGATGATTAAATGAGTAAAGAGCTATGTTTTCATTGACCTTTTTTGGCGATAACTTTGACTTACTTAGTGTCAGATCCTTGTTGTGAACCATTGGCCACAATTGCAGCATTATTCCTACAAGAAAATAGGAATAATTTGTCTTAACCAGCCATGGTGACATGCCTTGTAGTCCTAGCTACTCAGGAAGGCTAAGGTAGGAGGATTACTTGAGCCCACAAGTTTGAAGCTATAGTAAGCTACAGTTGCACCCCTGTATCCCAGCATGTGTAACAGTGAGACCCTGTCTCTAAAAACTTCCTTTAGTTTAAAAAGAGAAGAAAATTAGTCAGTCTAATAATTCATTTTAAGCAGCAGTTTCTAAGATTTATTCTTAGCTGCAAATACTCCTTTCAATCACACTGATCGGCTTAAGCCAAAAGTCCAGAGTCACTGGTTTCAGGCATAACTGTTCCAGCAACTCAAATGACATTACCAAAATCCAGGGTATGTATCTTTCTTTCTTGGCCCCACTTCCCTAGATTTGACTCTACTCTTACTATGTTCTTCACTTGTGATGCCCCTTTAACAACCAAAAATATTAGGGCTATGGCTTCCTTATCCAAAAGCAGCAGGCAGAGGGACAGTCTACTACTTTCTTGACACATCTGACAAAGTCTCAGAATTGAGAGATAACCAGGTCTCATCCTAATTGACCCTGGTTGTCCATTCCTGACTCTATCACTGTGGTCAGGGATGTGCTGACTGCCCTAAACCAATCAGGACCCACCACTGGAATTCAGGAAAGGATGGATCCTATATAACCCTGTACAACATGATTAGGAAATCTGGAGTAATAGTGAAAGGAGGAAGATGAAAATGGATGCTGGAAAGGTAACCATAAATGTCTGGCTCAGAAATTTAGAAGAGTAAGAAATCAGCTCTCTCAATATTTTATATAAATTATTCTGTTCATTAATTTATTCACTCCTTCATTCAAGAAATGCATATTAAGTCTCTGTCCTATGCCAGACACTATGCTTGGAGTTGGGCCACAAGGATGGATAAGATCAGCTGCTGACCCAAGGAACCATGATGCCTCCTGAAGGCTTTTAAGTCCCTGCCCTCTCTGTTCTTTTCCTTTTCTTAGAAGCTAGCGTGATGGTTCACTGAGCCATTTCCATAGAATAATCCTGTCCCAAAGTATCATACATCTGCAGCTAAGTCCCAACTCTCACGACCAAACACAAGAAGCATTGGTGAAGTCACTGAGAAAGGTTTGGTTTCAATGCCCTAAAAAAAAAGCTACTTTCAAGCTCATTTAAAAATAATAACAAAGCTACTTTCTAAAGTTTAAGCCAGAACTGTATGAACTTTCTGCCTGGAGCAGGCAAGTTCAAACACCAACGACCATGGGTATGCCCTGAAAGATTTTTTCTTTTTTTAAGAAGCCAAGTGCCAATTAGGCAGCAGATGCAGTGGCTGACAGCTCACCCTGGAGGCTCCCCTGGGCAGCAGGTCAAGCAGGCATAGCCTGTGCCTGTTTTTCAGATTTGGAGTTTAGAACCTCAAAACCCTGATCTACAAAATCCCCGCATCAGAATCCCTTGAGAAGAATATTTGTGGTAATTATTCCTCAGCCTTACCCCAGATCTCTGGATCAGAAAAGTGGTGGTGGGGTGGGGATGGGTGGGTATCTGCAATGTATCAAATCCCACAGGTTTCTCTTATACATACAGATGCTTGAAACTCTTCAGTGTGCGGGCAACTGTCATCTCCTCCTAGAGGTTTTTCACAGGGCCATTCGAGAAGATAATTAAATCTCCATTAAGACTTGACATTCTGTTAGCAAGGGAAGGCTTCCCATGGCAGGCTGGAGGGTGTGGGGTTGAGCCAAGGAAGACATCTGAAGCACCTACAATTCCTTGCTCATACCCTTGATCTTTTCC